GATCCAGCTGTTTGTCCGCAGATCTGAGTGATGGAGTCTGAATGAAAGCTCACAGGAAGCTGAACTGGCTGTAAACACAATCAGTGGCCTTTTACTGTCCTTTAAAGTGCTCTCTCACTTTGTGTTGTTGTCATTTAACTGGTTGTTGTTGTTGTTGTTGTTGTTGTTTTTAATTCACTCTGTTGTTTAACAGTCTCCCAAACAATGCTTGGTTACGTTTTAGTCAATTAAATAGTTTCCAATGTCAAAATTAGAAAGAATAAAGTTGCTTCACAGCTTAAATCCACTTTAAGCTGCAAATGAAGCAGAAAATGACATTTTTAAATAATCAATCAATCAATAATCAATCTGCTGTTTAACAATGCTGCAAAAAAGGATTACGTTCAGATAATTTATTCATTACATTTTAAAATGTCAAAATTGGATGAGAACAAAGTGCCTTGATGCCTTCAGATCCCTTTAAGTTATAAATGTTTGGTAGTTTTATTTGTTACGTAACCTGCTTTGTTAAAAGTCTTCATAAATGAAACGACTGAATGAAGTTAACTGATCTTACTGTGCTTTTTAAATGTCCTGACGCTCGCTGAAGCTCTCTAACGTCGTATCTGAATGATGAATAACATAAAGTAACGTGCTGATGATGTAACTGTTTATTTACAGAACCGACTCAGATCTACAGGTTCCTCCGCACCAGGAACCTGATCGCTGTGAGTGTTTCCTCTCACATGATTCACTTGACCTTTCTGAGATAAGAGGAAACATTTCTTGTCGAAGTAGATCTGTAACGTGTTTTTCTCTCTTCCTGCTGCGTTTCAGCCCATCTTCCTGCACAGGACGCTCACCTACATGTCCCACAGAAACTCCAGGAACAACACCAAGAGGTAAAACACAAAACCTTCAAAAGCCTTCAGATCAGTTTGTGTCTTTGCTCCTCTCTCTGCGCAGTCGTTTCCCTTGAAAAGCAGGTCGTGTGTCATCTGGAGTGAAAGTAAACCGCCGTGTGGGCCGGCTGGATCGGTTAGGAAGAAAAACAACCTCCTATCACAGGACAGGTTTTTCAGTTGAGCTGCTTTGCATACAGACGCTGCTCGCTGACGAGGAGGGTTAAACACAGACAGCTCGCTCACGTGGTTGTTAAAGCGCAGCAGGTTCTGAGTTCAGGGGGGAAAAGATGATTTTTAGTCATTATTATTACATTTACACCAAGTCGGTGCAAGTTGAATGTTTGCAGGTGATAATTAGTTTTTCAGTTGTAACCAAACTGTTTGTTGTTTCATATTTTTGTCAGTTTTATGCAGTTTTTTTTTTTGGGGGGGGGAAGTGTTAAATGTGTTAGATGTGATTTTGACAGGATTGGTCGGATTAGTTAACAGTGTTTGTTCAAAGCTGAAAAACCTCCTCTGTCCTTTTATTAGATGAAATAGTGAAATAGGTCTTAAATGTCCTTCTTAATGGTCTTTAAACAGTCGTAGAATCTGTAGAAACGTTTTAATGTCAGGAAAGTAAAAGACTGAAATGGAACCAAAACATGGAAAGACTTCTGAAGACGGCGGTTTACCGGCGGTTAACCTCCGACATGAGCAGGAGCACAAGGTGGCAGGTGTTTGTTTGTTTGTTTGTTTTGTTGTTTTTGTTGTTTACCTTTATGTGCAAAAGAAAAGACGTTTAACTGAGTAACGTATGGACACGTTCTGTATTACGGCGCAACAGGTGCTCCTCTCATAATTTAAAGCTCGTGAAACTAATTCTCTTATTAATGTAGTATTTTTCATTAATTTTGACGTTTTTAAAATCAATCCAAACTTTTGTAAAAGAGAAATAAACGTAGTTATTGTGGAACACAAGAGTCATTTGATCAGTTTATCTCTGTTAGGATCAAAATCAGTGAGCTTTAGTAGAGTCCTTATTTGGGCACGCTCTCTTCAGACTCTTCCTCTTTGATGAACACTAATTTCTGTTCTTCTCTCTGGGCTAAAAGTGGCAGCCGTTAGATCGTGTAATTCCTGATTTGAAGCGGAGGCAGTGAACCCGGTGACGCGTTCGCTGCAGCTCGGCTCAGTTTCAGTTTCCGCTGCACTGTCGCACGCTTCAGTCACATGAAGCTCCACACAGAGCCACTGCACAGTCACTA